ATAGACAGAGCAAGAGAGAGAGGATTGAAAAATCACACAAATTTACAAATTGCAATCGATTTATAAGCAATTATGCTTCAAGCTAGACACAGACAGCGAGTGATAGAGGTGTTCACACATCAATATATGACCATAATGCCCATTGCTCTATGAGATAATCGCAGCGAGTCGCGTCTTTCACTTTGATTTCAGTTGAGTGCTAGAGTTGACGTGGTTATTGGATCGCTTGATGCGAGTCTGATAAAACCGTGTGTATTATGTCTGTCAAAACTGTTAAGTCAGTGGGCAGCGGTAAATGGCATATTAGCTTGATGCGCAACTGCATAGCAGACATCAAGGCAAACACATACAAAGTGTGCACGACTAGCACATACCCTGTGAAAATTGATTTAAAGAGTCGAGTTATGCCTTGGCTGTGCTTAATGAGGACGAATCTATGAGGGAAATTTGACAACTCCAACTCAAATTGTTATCGATTTATAGCTTTTTGTCGAAAAAGTTATCGATATATTAAGAGAAAATTGAACTGAGAGATATTACGCTTAAATCGCATCTACAATCATTCGAACTCTGCTCAAATAACTAAAGTGTGTGATCGATTTCGCTTGAAAAGTTATCGATATATTGATAGAGATATCTGATCTAAGGGAAAATTTGCGTAAAATATCATTTAAAATATCTTTAACTCTTACAAGTATCAAGACGGAGCTAGTTCGCCTCGCCTGTCGCTCCAGTTGTTTATATCATCTGTGAGATCATATATTTAAGTGGCTTTATCTCTGCGCCGTCCCGTTGCATTTATGCCCCAAATGTTATTCATTCGAGAGTCGAGTCTAACGGTAATTGGACTGCATAACATTTACCAACACTAGGCATGGCAACATTCACTTTTTCAACACTTCAGCGATATCTTTAGTATTATTATTATGACTATGATAATGCGTATATATTTCGACCATGATTATTATAATAAGCTGATGTTGCCGTTGTTGTTGCTGTTATTGTTGTTTCATAATCTCTTTCGTCTCTTTCATCTAACTTTTCTTTCGTTACGAAAACGTTTTCATTGTCAGAACCGAGCCGAACTTTGATTTGATTTCAGTTTTTTCTTCTTTCTTTCAGGGTGAAATTTATGAGGCATATAAATCTTTAACATCTTAATAGCTCCATTGTCTTTGGTCAGAGGCAAAACGAGAAGTTCCATTTCTGCGCAGATATTTCGGCAAAAGCTGCGGGAGGAACAACTCGGAAGAGCACAGCAGACGCACCTTAAATTCATTGCCAATTCAGCGGTGCACCTGACTATATCTATATATAACAGTTCAAATTGTTTATTACTCGACTCTTGTGGGGATTTTTGCGTTACTTTAATAATATCTTTATAGTTTACCGTTAGAGGTTATCAATTTAGCTGGAAGTTACCAAATATGCACATAGATCTATATAGTTTATTGACTGCCGATGAAGCACGGAAATAACTATTTGGTTAGCTTTTCGTTAGACTCGAAACCTGATGTACAAAGGTGTGTGCGGAGCTATATAGATATATCTATGAGCCTTAATCTATTAATATGCATGATTTAATAATTGCATTCGTAAGGAATCTATTTAATGCGAGTTTCGCTTAGATTTGAGAAAGAAAGAAACACTTGAAAATTTTAATCAACATTTTTCTCAATTATTCTCCTGCTCGGGATTTCTCTCTTTCTGCCTCTCTCTCTCTCTGTATCTCATGCTTTCTCACCTTTTCTTTATATACCTTTTCTCTTTAGTTATATTTTCAAGCTTCGCCATCTTTCAGTCTTTATCTGTCTCTTGATCTATCTCTCACTCTCTCTGTCTCGCTCCCAGTGTCTCTCGTTATCTCTGTCTCCTTTTAGCTAACTCTATCTGTCTATCTATCTCTCTTACTCACCTTTTCTCAGCTACTTCTCTGTCTCTCTCTGGCTATCTCTGTCTCCAACTCGCCCTCTATATCTTTCTCTATATCTTTCTTTCTCTCCCACTCTCTTCTTGTCTTAGCCAGCTTCTTCTTTGACTCTCCTCATTCTTCTCTCCTCTCTCTAGCTCTCTCTTGCTCTATCTCTGTTCTTCCTTCTCATCGCTCACTTACGCTGCGTACCCATCTAATCGTCTCTAATGTCTTGGGGTCAAGTGTCATTGACTCAGCCATTGACCCCCACCTTCTGCCAACTGGTACTCGCTCTTCTCTTTCTGTTTCCCCCCCTCTCTCTCTCTCTCCCTCTGGGATCGACGATCGCCAGCGTCAAGTTTCGTCTTTGGCGCCTTTTTCGTTTGTTTGCAATTTTCATTTGCCTCTGTTTGTTATTGACCCCTCTTCCAGCCCGCCCCATCCTACCACTCTCCCTGCCTCCCTCTCTCTCTGTCTTTCTATGCCCCTCCTTTTGGCTACCTACACCAGACGTAATTACAGCCGCGTTCTTTGCTCTGTTACGCCTTTGGCTTTAAGTTTTTTTTTTTTTTTTTGGGCTAGGGCCACGATTTGGATTTGGGCTTTGACTTTGGCTTTGATTACAGCCGCTGCCATCTTCAGACAGCTGCGTGTGTGTGTAGAGTCTAAAGAGTGTGTCTGCTCTGCTGCCCTCCATCTCTCACGCCCTCTGCTTAGCCTTAATGATTGTCTCTGTGATGATTTTGCATTTATCTTTATGTTTTTCTCCTCTTCTTCTCTATCTTCTTCTTATTTTATTATATTCAATTGGAAGTTTTGTGCAGCAATAAATAAATAATTACTTTAATGTTCGCTTATCGAAGCTTAAAAGATTGCGCTTGGCATCTGCATACAGCATCCGCATCAAGCTAACTGCATTCAGCCAGCATTCATTGCTTGACCGGTTTTTGGTGGTTTTTTAAGTTTTTTTTTTTGGCCATTTTTACTTTCAATTTGGCAGCGAAAACCGCCGCCAGAAACGAGAAAATTCACTTTGACTTTGCTTCAACAAATAAAAAAATACAAATTTGTCGCCGTCTGAAAGCGAAATTTTTAACAATAAAAAACGAGTAAAAAATAAATAAAAATAAAACAAATTCTAAACAGGTTTGTGATTACAAAAAAACATGAAAATGCATTTGGAGTTAATTCCTTGAAAGGGCTAAAAAAAAAGCGATTTGAGAAGCGAAATGCAAAATAAGTCTATACTTCAGATGGGTAGAAATATGGCAAATCACTTAGAGGATTCAATTCCTGCTAAGAATACCTAAAACAAACATACATATATGATATATGTTATATTTCAGAAATATGTATATAATTTTATCAAATTTTCATACTGATTCGTCATTTTTTTTATGTATTTGCTTAAGATAAAGTATTATGCTTAAGCTGATCGATCAATGCTATGACAGCTCTATAATATATTGCTTAGATACAACTTCTACATATTTTTTATTTTTAGTTTTTGTTATTGTATTTTTAATTTTGTTATTTCAATTAAAATTAGAATTAAGAAAAAATATATTTCGATTTTTTTTCATTTTTTACTTTTGTTTTGAACTTTAGTCAATATTAAAAATTGGCTAACTGTTTATTTCTGCTTTATTAATTTTCAATTAATTTTATTAAAAAATTTGTTTTTTCCCCACCTTTGGCGTCTTTTCAAGCACGTAAAACTTTAGTCCTTTAACTCTCTACAATTTGTATTGTTTTAACCCAGTCTGGCAACGCTGTCAGATCAGTTCCATAATTTGTCCGAGTGCGCCTAATATGGCACTTAACCTCGTATTGAGACTCGTGACAATTTGACTCGAATGATGTCTCTTCCCGCTCTCTCGCCTCACCCCCTCCTCGCTCACTCTCTCTCTCTCTCTCTCTTTTGCTCTTGTAATTCTTGTTGGCTTTTTCGTTTAGCTTCATTTATTTGGGTCATGGACAGTCATCTTCTGTCAATAGCAGTCCTCCGCTCTCCCTCTGCCTCTCCCGCTCTCTCCCTCTCCCATTCCACTTGTTCCCTCTGCTGCTTCCCGCTTCATTCGGCTTACAGGTTTTTCGACTTTTACTTGCAACTGCAGCAAGGCTAAAGACAACATTTGGAGACGGGCAGCAGCGGCTTTGTTTTTGTTTTTGGTTCCGTCTCGATCTTGGCAACAAAATTTGTTGCAGGCGCAGGCAATTTATGTTGCTGCTCGCGTTGTTCTTGTTGTTGTTGTTGACTTTGGTCTGCGCGTTAAATGAGTTGTAAAAACAGCTGTTGATTTATTGTGGTTGTTGGCTATGGTTGCCGCTTGTCACTTCTGGATCGCTCGGTGGCTTGTTTATCGAACTTGGCACATTTGGCTATGGAGAGCTTAATGTGCTCATCTTCAGAGCATGACATGTGCCAGTAACACCAACTACAGCAACAACAAACAATAGAAGTTTTCGTGTAAAGAAATCAACCAAAAGAAATTTCACTACAAGCGGCGAAATGTTGCCATGACTTTGACTTTTGCAGCCGCACAAATAAAACCAACCGAAAAAGAGCTAAAAATGCTTATAAACAATGCCATGAAACATGGAAAGCCAGCAACAAGACGCAGAGCAAATTGTTGCCGCAATTAAGAAGAAGAGCAAAAGAGAGTCAAATAAAGACCAAAAAAAAAACTGCCTAACAACTGTGCAAATAGTGCGAGGACAAAAAATGAAAAAGAATAGCTAACAATAGAGAAGAAAAATAAAACAAACCAAACAAACAAAATTTAAATGAAAAACCAAACGAAAAAAAAACAATGAGGCCGTTTGTTGCTGCTGCGATGATATTCCAGAATCAGTGAATGGAACGTCACGGCACAAGAACCACCAGCAACACCACCACCAGCACCACCAACAACAACAATAGCAACAAGCATGGTAGAAGAGAGCAAAAGAGTTCAACGCACAGCAAAAAAGAAATAAAGTTCTGCAACAAAGTTGTGCAGGATGTTGCCGAGGACAATAGCAGCCGTCGCAACATTCTGCGATCGTTTCATGTAACAGTTTTTCTATTATCTATTTTTCTACTCACCTCATCGGCTTTTTGCTGCATTTTGTGTTATTATTATTTCTTTTTTTTTGACGCTGCAAAAATCGTATTTTATTTATGACAATTAGAAAACACTAAACAAAAGAAAAAAATAAGCAAAATTAAACACTTTCACTACCAATAAAAGCAGAACACAGTGGCGTCAAATAATAATAATGCAATTATGACAATTGTTATTGTTAAACCGTTGCAGTTGTTTCTTTTTGTTCAATGCGCGCGTGCGCAACACAAGACGCCACAAATGACAAGTAAAACCAAAAAAAAATTAGAAAAATCAAACAACAACAAAAGAGACGAACCGCAAAGTAACGAAAAATGTGTTAAACAAATTGAAGTGCGTGGTTAGAGGTGAAAAACGCGTTATGCACGACCAGCACGCTGCGCTACAAAATAACAACTGACGGCACCGAAAGCAACTGACGATAAACACTGCAGGCAAGCGCAGTGGAAAAGCTCAAGCTCTCACACTCATGCATTTGCGCGCTCACACAGTTAGTTGGAGTTAAATAGTTGGGAGCGCGCGCGCGCTCACTTTGAAACTAGCTGGCAACGCTATAGAATAATCATTTTTGGTATTTTTTAGTACAACACATTCGCCTCTCTAGCATCTAACTTACATTAAATAAAGTAAATGCTTCCTGGTTATGTATTTTACGCTGTCATAAATTAATCAAATTTAAAATATTTGCTATTTAAATACCAGCTACAATTAAAAACCCAAAATTCCAGCCAACAATCGATAGTTCTGTTGTCATAACGACTGAAATAAAAGTTTTTAATTGCAATTGTCTACAATAATAAAATCAAAATTCTCAAAACTCAATTTTATGCTAGTTTAAATATAAAAACATTGCAATAGATTGCCTGTTTGCACAGTAATTCCCAGCTAGCATAAATCAACAAATTATTCAAATTTGGGCTAGCGCGCTCAGCGTTGCCATCTATGAAAATACCAAATAAATATCATACGTTTCAGTATTTAACGTAATACGCAATCGATAAATGTAGAATTGTTATCGTTGCCATAACGACTAAAATGAAAATATTTAATTGCAAACAATAATAAAAAAGGAAAAACAAGCCAAACTCTGCTATTTCACTTGACAAAATGTATAGAAGCAGTGCACCGAAACGCACAGGCATTTATCGTGTCAAGGGAAACATCAACGATTTCCAGCTGGAGCTGAAATTAAGGCACGTTAGCGAATGGCTGCCTGTCCCGAAATTTGAATATACGGGCGCCAAAGTCAACTACGGCGACCATTATCCGGAGAGTACGAGCACAAGTGGTTGGTCAGACTGTTTCATCTATGTGCCCTACGAGGATCAGTATGGCAATAACTATTACACCTACTACAACTATTATAATCCCGGCAGCGATTATCCCGGCAGCAGCAGTCGCGCCACCAGCTGCAGCAGCAGCGCGCGCAGCGGCCGCAGCAGCTTTTACAGCAGCAATCAGTCGGAGCTGATAGACCAACAGCAGAAGCAGCAGCTGACAGGCGAGACAGGATTCCATGCCCTGAATCCGGAACTGTGCAATGGCGCAACGGCCAACGTTTGCATTAGCTGGCAGCAAAAGTGCTTCAGTCGCGAGGAGCTGCAGCGCTACGGCGAACTGAACAACTGCCAGACGTCGTTGCAGCGTCGCTACCATCGCTGGACGCGCGACATTGTGGAGCTGCAGCAACGCTACCAGCTCCGAGTGCAGCACGCCGAGCAGAAGCAGCGCGTGCGACGTCGCCGGCAAAACAAAACCTCAAAAACGAAGTCGAAATCTTCGCCGCTCTCCGAGTTCAGCGTGGAGGCGCCAACGGCGCTGCCCGAGGACCCGGACTTCGCCACACGCACCTGCCTCATACACACACTCATCAATGCGGATCTGCGAGAGCTTGACGCAGGCGATCCCCAGCTGCCCGCCGAGGCGCACGAGCTGCAGCAGCAGGGCTTTCAGCTAATGTACATCTATGCCCAGCTGCAGCAGGATATGCTGCTGCTCTGCCTGCGCTACGATCCGGCGTGCGGCCTGCTCTATGTCTATCCGGACTTCAGCCTGAGCGCGGAAGACTTGGAGTATGTGCTGCAGATTGACAACGATTGCCGGCAGCTCTACGCGTACGGCTTTGAGAACGTGACCGTGGTGAATGTGCTCGAGCAGGATCACGTTGAGTCGGCAGCTCAGTCGCAGCGAGATGCGGAGCTGGAGCTGGAGCTTGACTGGGACTCGCTGCCGGGCTCCGAGGCCAGCGCCGAGCAGCTGGTCAACTACTATCAGCAGCAGCGCAGCAGCGAGTCGGCCCAGCGACGCCTGCTGCAATTCCAGCTGCCGCCCAAGCGCATGCGCCGCGTCGTCCTGCTGCTGCAGCTGCACGAGGCACAGCACTTCGAGTACCCCAATGTGCACGTGCGCTACTATGTCAATCCGCCGTCGCATACGATACTGGAGCCAGCCAATAAGCATGATCCGTTTCCGCTGCGTGGCGCCACAGCCACCTGTGTGGCGGGCGGAGCTGAGCGCCTGGCTCACTTCTCGCACTGCTGGCAGCTGACGCTGCTCTGCGAGGAGTCGCATCAGCCCCATCAGCTGCTGCACATCTACTTCGAGGTGATCAGCGTCGACAGCTGGCAGCGTGAGCGCTGCGAGGGCTACGCCCATTTCTCCTGCTCGCTGCTGGCGCCGCTGCCCAGCGGCGTCTCTTCCGGCATGCGGCTGCAGTGCATCCGTCCCGTGGGCAGCTGGCTGGATGCGCTCAATCGCTATTTCATTGGCGGCCGTGCGCTGTTCGACTTCGTTGGTTACTTCAAAAGCCGATCCCGCGAGAATATGCTGCACAATCGCATGGAGCTCGGCCGACAGCATGTGATGCGCAGCACCGGAACGCTCCTCTTCAGCGTGCAGAAGCTGCAGCAGCGCCACCAACAGTTCGGCTACTATCTGCTCCAGGAGCACAGCAACGATGACGACGACAACTACAACGACGATGCCGCTGCTCCAGGCTGCTGCCAGCTCGATCCCAAGCCCAAGTCCAGTGTCTCTGCCACGCTGCAGGAGGTGATGTCTGCCTATGTGGAGGCCAGGGAACGCATCGAAGCACTGCTCGGGACTGCAACGCTGCCCTAGAATGTGTTCCATTAACACACAGACAACGACTCCATGCAGCCAACACTTGCCTCCCGACTCACTTCATCCATCGAATCCAGCTTCTCAGAGTCTTGCCTAGAGCTCGCATATAGTTTGCCTTACATCTGATCTGTATCCAGTTTGTATCCAGTTTGTATGTTCATTACGAATATATGGATGCCTATCTGCACATAGATAGTCAGATCCTAGTAGAGACATAATCGGAAATGTATATTCTGTATAGATGAAGCCAATTGAGGCTCAGCATTTAAATGTATCTGGGCTCGATTCATATGGAAATAAGATCTAAGCATATATCCTGATATGTAGATTCAGTATAAGGTTATTTAAGCTAATCCAGTTGTAGCTAGTAGGGGAACTTCAGCTAGATTCGATATGGCTATGTATGTATATAGATTCTAGATTGGCTTATGCTAGCTCGACTACTGGTTGGGGCTAGTAGAGTATCTAGATTCAAATAATATAGATAGATTCTATATAGATGTGCTATGAGGTTCAACGCGAAACATGCCTTGGAAATCCAACGAAGCTGAACTTCCTATATATATACATGTCCCTATATAGTCTCTAAAGTAAAGAACCCTCAGTGTCTGTCCTACCCATACATAGAATCTATTTTGTATATAGTATTCAGTACCATTTGAATTGGAATATTATAAGAAAAGGCTTTCCAATTCCATATAGCATCATAAAAACAGCCTTTCCCTGGCTAAACTCGCGCTAAATCTAAGCCTAAGTATGTTTTGTATCAGTCCAGGAAAAGTATAATAAAACACAAGCCTGTCTTTAGGCGACTGCATATACAAGCTAAGCCTTTAACACGCATTGCATACTTACAAGGCACTTTGCCAGCAGCTTGTAGATAGACTATTGACTGGCGTTTATATCAGCTGGACAGCTGTTCTTAAGACTTGTAAATAATAGTATAAGAAGTGCATCATGCTCATTGTATACTTACAAGGTAGTTTACAAGCAGCTTGTAGAGTCAAAGATCAGCAAGCTTAAGAAGCTCTACAAAGCAAATTGAATCAAATTTTTCTATCCAAATTTGTAGTGATTCAGCTCGTTACAAGGAACTTTGCAAGCTGCTTGCAAAACTAGAGCGCGGAGCAGTTACTGCCCAAACAATAGATCATATAACGGTTTTAGTTTAGCCATTTTATTTACTACTAATATCACTCAGTGTATATACATATATATATATTCATATATAGATTCATTGTCATGTTCGCATCGCATCGTCTCATATTTTGTTTTCTTTTTTCTGGCAGGCTGAGGGCTGGGGTAGGGGGATCAGGGATATCGGGATTGCAAAGGATATATTGTATACATATAACACTAAAAGATGATAAAAAAATAATATATATATATATATACTTATAGATATACACATATATATATATCTATATATAATTTTGCTACTTGTTAATTGTTGATTGGGGGAATTTGGCGCTTAGAACTAAATACTTGGGCTTAGGGTCGAGGGGAGGGGGTTGCTTTTACGGAAGGACTTGCTCTCTGGACTGGGAACATCCTCCATGCTTATGCCGTGGGCAAATAGAGACGGGACGGCTCTGCGGGGGGCTGGTAGTTGTAGCCGTTGCCATTGACATTGCTGCCATACGGATTGCCGGCGCCGAAGAGACTGCCGATGCCAGCGTTGGGGTCAACACCGAAGCTGCCATCAGAGCCAGGTCCATAGATGCCATTGGCATTGGCATTGTCATCGATGGGTGCCCTGTAGCTGTAGTCATCGCCGCTCTGGCCGCTGCCGCGCAGTGGTCCTTGCTCGTTGTTCAGATTCTGCTGCAGGAACTGGAAGCGATTCTTGTTGCCCAGCAGGCTGCTCAGGTCGGCGGCTGGCTTGGGGCCCGCAGGAGCCAAGGGCTGTGGGCTGCATAGAGTTGATTGCATTGTAGCCGAGCAGCTCACGGAGTTGGCGCTAGCACTACTTACTCAGGCAAGTCCAGATCCAGCTCGGTGATTGGGTGATAGCCGAACTCATCGGCCGTATAACGGGTCTTGTAGCGCTTGCCATCGGCGCCCGTGAACGAGTACGAGCCGCTTACCACAAAGGTCTTGTCGTCCTTCAGTTTGCCCACGCTGTTGACCTCAATGCCGTTCTGGGTCTTCAATCTGTGAGAAGTGATCGATTAGTTATCGATTGCGCTTCAAATTTAACTTAAGGCGACGATCAGATATTTCATTAACATGGTATCGATAATTTATCGATTCATTCAAATCAAATAATTGCAAATTATGCCAATTAATTCAATAGCATACAATAACAAACAATCGCTTACCGTCGATTACTTATCGATACCTACAATACGATCAGTGCTATCGCTTGGCCTGAATAGAATCTAATATTTTCTAGTATATCAATGCTAACGATTAATGCAAGTTATCGATTAGTTGTAATCGAAGTGATTTACACTTTAATTAGCTAAGAAAATCTACTTTGTGATTCATGATTAACTTGAAGTATTATTCAGAGTGATAAATAAGCTGCGATATCATATTAAGGGAATGCCCTTAATATTTATTATAACTCGTAAATAAATTTAATGAGGTAATGCCCTTAATGTCATTTGCTTTAGCCATCTTCGTTCGCTGTTTCGCTGACAAACGCAGTTATCGATCGAAATGTATCGATTTATTGCTGTACCAACTTACTCGAGTTTGAACTTTTTGCCCGCATTGTAGTTTTGCAGCTTCTCGGTTTTGGCCTTCATCACATCGCCGCTGAAATGAACGGCGGGCTTATCGTCGTCGATGTCCTCGGGCAGGGTGTAGATATCGCCCGGATTATACTTGAACAGATCCAGATTGCGATCTGTCAGGTGTTTCACGTCGGCGACTGCCAACGCCACAAAGCACAAAACCAGCTGCCAGCCAAGAGAGAGACAGAGAGAGAGGAGGGGATGGTTAGTTTATACGATTAGTTGATTGCTTGATTTGTGTATTCACGTTTAGTACGAGCTGTCACTTAAGAGCGAAGCATAGATAACACACATAAAAATAGATATAAAACGGAATATGGAAATCTGTGTCGTGATTTTTTTTATTTTTCTTAATATTATTTTAACGAGCGCTGTATAAATCACGGGCAAAGTGGCTCGTGGTCTATGCCAAGTGTCAGACAACTTGTTTTATGCATTTCAAATTTGAATTTAAGAAAAACAAGCGAAAAAACGATCAACAGGCGCTTAGAGCCGCAGCAATTAATCAAACTGTTGGCGTGCGCGCGCGTTTTGCTAGCGTTTTGTTGGCGTCTATAAACGCTCGCCTTGGCGCGTCGTCGCTTTGTCTCGCGCATTGCGCTCTTGTTGGCGTTGTTGTTGCTGCTAATGCGTTTTGATTTATTTGACTTGAGCTTAAATCGTTTCCAATGTTTGCGGCTCATTGCTTTGTACTCCATCCAGGCAAATAGAGCTTGTGTGCGTGTGTGTGAGTGAGCCAGCAAGAGCCTGGAGTATGGCATGGAAGCCCTTTGCATGAGCACGTGTGAGTGAGCAGGCAAGCGCCTGGAAATCAACTTGGGCACTCTTCGTTTGCACGTGTGTGAGTGAGTAGGCAGGCGCCTGCAATTAGTAATGGCCACTCTTTGCTTGTTCGTGTGTGTATGAGGGCGAAAGCAAGCGCTCACATTGCTTGCGTGTGTCCCACACACGACATGTTTTGAATGAAATCAATTAGCAGCGTGAGCAAATACAAAAACAACAAAAGGCCAAAGTTTAGATTGCAGATTAAAGAGCTCGTACAACTGGAATTTTTTAGGAAGTGCTACCAACTGGCTGAACATGTCAATTAGCATGCCGGCAAAAAAAGGTGTAGAAAAAACGTGCAGAAAAAAAAGCCAAAAGCAAACAGCAAAAAAAATTATTAAGCAAATATATATTTAAAAAAAAAATGATACTTAGCGCTTTTTTTCATACAATTAAAAACACTTTGCTTTTAAATTAAATTCAATTTTCAAACGTTAAAATTTAGCCTTTTTAAAAGGACTTTTGTACACAGATGTTAGAGATTTTTTATTAATTCTAAGTGAAAAAATAGTTTACAACACTGCAGCATTTTACTGTTATTTACTTTTGAAAGCACTTAAAAAAAATCACAAGCGTTTTTTTTAAATATTTTTAGTTTTTGCTTTTGTCACTTTAAGCACTTATTATCAAAATATATTTTTACAGAATTTTTATTTTTTAAACTTACAAAACTCTTCATGTTTAATTTTGTGTGTTATATTTGAGAGGGTATCCTAAGTCGAACTGCAAATTGAAGACTGTGAGAGATGCGTTGCGCACAGGTTCTAACAAATAAATACAAACGCTTCCACTTCTTGTTTCCTTATATATGGTCTTTTGCTAGAGCCCAAGCCAAGCGCCGTCGGCGTCGCAGCTCGCAAAAAAAAAAATAACAGCAACAACAAAATGGAGAAGGCGAAAAAAAGAAGAAAATGAGAAAAAAGAAGACCCAACAGAACCGGACAACGAACCGCAGCGCCCAATACGATGCGGACATGGCGGGAACGTCGACAGTTGTCAACGCGCTGCGTGCTGCGATGCCCTGTAAATTTGGCAAATGCGGTGTATATAATATAATATGCCAGCCACAACAAGACAGTTGCTTAATATACCACAAACAGTTACAAAAACTTAAAAATAGTTTTTATTTCTGATTTTACGTCAAACAGCCTATGGGAACTCAGCTTTTAGCAGAGCTACAGAGCTCAAATTTGTCATGTGGCTGCCTTGCATAGTGCATATCATAGTTCTATATGCACTTGGTATACAGTTTACAATTACTTATCAAAACTGCTAAGAATAGTCTGAGTATCTATGTGAACTCGGCTGCTAGCAGAGTTAGAGAGCTGTAATTTGGTATGTGACTGCCTTGCATAGTGCATATCATAGTTCTATATGCACTTGGTATACAGTTTACAATTACTTATCAAAACTGCTAAGAATAGTCTGAGTATCTATGTGAACTCAGCTGCTAGCAGAGTTAGAGAGCTGCAATTTGGTATGTGACTGTCTTTCATTGCATAGGTCAAGTTTTTATGGTTTTCTTGCAGTTCATATACTGCCCTGAAAGTGAGAGAATAGCTTGATAACTATGTTAAGTCTGTGAGTAGTATATGAAATATTGTGTGTGAACTAGTGTGTGTCAAGAAGAATGAGATCTTCCTCACAGTTGTTATGGACTTAAACATTTTCTATGTGAAATAGCTAAAGAATAGACGTGATCAATATGAACTTGATAAATTGAATAATTTTAAAATATGACAGATTCAGTATTAATGTATATGGTATATGGTATTTATTGGTATATTTATATAGATATATAGGAATAGTGGAGCGAGGTTACCCATACACATCTATATCTATACATGCATAGGGTTATATCGGTTATAGCTATATAGCAAAATAATATAGTTTTATATATTATTTACATTTTATATATTATTTATATTATTTACAGGGTATCTACGCTGTGCATCACTCAGGCCTGCGCACTACGCACTAGCTATTTGTTTTGAATTGCCATTGGGTTGTTGGGTTGTTGGGGCAGCCGCCCCTAGCCTCAGACACATTCAGCATAGATGTAACTGTTTTTGGGCAGACTTTTACACATTAAAAGGGCCATCAAAAGAGCTGGTTTTCTAACATACAACTCTGTGTGTGTGTGTGTGTGTGTGTGTGTGAGTGTGTGTGTGTGTGTGTGTGCTTAGATGACAACAAATTAGAAAACCGCCATCAACGAATTAGCATACGCGTTTAAGTTTAATGATTTTTATTGAGTATCTACAGATGTATATACATACATACGCATACATATTCGTACATACATGTGTGTGTAAGGCTGTCTGTGTGTTTGTGTGTCTGTTTGTCTGCATACGCCTAGCATTCAGTTTTTATGAAGCGCACAATATTTTGTTATTGGAAAACATGCGCTAATATATGCGCGACATTCGTTCGATTTGGGAGTCCATTTCGAAGACCAGTTTGGGTCTGTTGGGGAATGGATTCCGGACTAGCTCAGGCCTAGTCCTAAGCACAGCCCCTGCCGCCCCAACCATGCCCCTGTTTGTGGTCAGCAGTTAAGGGAACACCGCCAACGCCAACGCCAACGCCTTGGGCTGCTCTTCTCTTGGCGCCTTTCTCATGCAGAGACTTGCCCTTGCGTTTGCTTGACCTTCGCTCAATTAGCCGTTCCGTTTTCGGCCTCTTATCACACTTAGCACATTTATCAACCTGCGCCTCGTTTCCGATCGCAGATCTGAGATCTCAGTTGAACTTCTAGTTCCATTCTCCTTCATCATCTTCTTTTTCTTCTCGTTTTATCTAATTTTAATTAAGTCTAGCCTGAGTCTTTAAAAACATATTTAATATTCGTCGACTTTTTTCCTTGTTTTGCCACATTTCAATGGTCAGGGCGCGCTGTTGCCGATTTTCACAGCGAAATGGCTCCGCTTGCCTGGGGTCAAAGTGCACTGTTGTCGGTTTTCAGAGGCATCAACTGCTGCCTTTCAGTTAGCAAACGTCGCTGCCAGCTTTCGCAACGAAAGCTTGTTGCTTTCCTTCGCTTCATGAATGCGCTGTTGCCACGTTTCACAGCTTATGCACTTTTGTCAAAAGAAAATTAAGAACAACCCCAGAAGCTTTTGCCAAGCTTCCATAGAGAAGAGCTTAAAGTACAGGCGGCGTTGCCAAACTTCACCGCCAGCCAATTATCAAGCGTACTTAGAGCCATCTGCTTATGCAAAGCCATTTGGTATTCAAATCTGTATGAAGATATATATTCGGAATCGAGAACAGCTTTAATCGTGGCTCAAAATCAAATGACTTTTTTATTCTGTTTTCATTCATTCAGTATTAATGAAAACGTTAAGCGTTGTCAGTCAAGCTTGTCAAGCGTTGTCGTTCTTCACGCTCTTCAAATGCCATCTTGCTGATGGCTTTTGCCTTGGTTTCATTTTTCTACCACTTCTGTCTCTCCTCTTCTTCTTCATTTGAACACAAAAATATGAAGATTAAACAAATTCATTCGACACGCCCCACTGACAGTTGCGGAGTGACGTCTCTACTAACTATCTCAATCGATCTCCCTCTCCATCTCTCTGTCTCCCTCTCTCTCTCTCTCTGTCTGCTCTATGCAAACGAGTTATTGGGAAACTCAAAAGAAAAAGCAAAACACAACAGAAACAAATTGCTGCGGTCGGAACCATTCTTCAGCTCGGCCACAACAATCTCTTCATCAAATAGATCTTCCGAATTGTTTGCCGTTCGTTAAGGCTAATTTATGGCACAGCTCAAGGACTGTCGGCCCCCCCCGCCCCTGCCACAGGTGTAAGCTGTTGTTCGACTATCTCACTCACATGCCAGTGGAGTTACACCGAGAAGACGCCAAGTCTCACGCTATTTCGATTCGGCTGATTATCTCTAGACAACCTGTGGACTCATGCTCTATCTCTTTCTTTCTTTTTTTACCTGCTCTTTGCTCTCTTTCTCTCTCTGCTTTACACTTATTCTCGCATCTCCCTCTTTCTTTCTTCATCTCTTTCATTTTATCTCTTTTATTTCTTACTCTTTCTTTCTCTCTATCTCATGCTTTTCATCTTTCGTTTCATCACTATCTCTTTCTCTCTCCCTCTCTTTCTCCATCTCCTTCTCTTTGATTCTCTGTCGTATCTCTCTCTTTCATTCCATCCCATTTCTCGCACTGCTTACCTCTTCCTCTCTCTGTTTACCCTTCCCTCTCCACCCTCCTCTGTCTCTCCCGCTTTCTCTCACTGCTCCCTCTCTGCTCACCATCTCCTTGCTGCTTCTCTCCCACTCGTTCCGCTTGTTTTTCCCTTCAAATTTCCAGTTTCTTCTTCTTCTTCTTTCCCGTTAACCGCGTCTTAGTCATGGCCAACGATCGATGGCCACAAATCATCGACGCCTTGAACTTTACATAATTTTACATAAGCCGCAAGACGAATTAAGAAGCTTCTTGGAAATCTCGTTTCGTTCCGTTCCGTTCCGTTCCGTTTCGTTTCGTTTCGTCCCGTTTCTTTTCTTTGGGCCTCTGCTGCATAATTGTTAATTTATCGATCCGCGCGTTTTAATTGCCTTCTTTATTATCTATCGACAGACGAACATAAAAAGTAGAAGAAGAAGAAGAAGAAGCAGAAGACGAAAAACAACAAACTTCGCATTCGGCGCATATCAAAGGCGATGCGTAACAAGTCGAGCTGAGCTGAGCTGCGCTGAGCTGAGCTGCGCTGAGTTCGTGTTGCTTTGAAGATCTGTTAATTTGCTAAAGGAATTAATGGGGAAATAAGAAACACTTTCTTTTCGCTCCAGCTAAAAATTAACAATGCTAATTGATGCGAAATCGGAGCAATAATTGTTTTATGTTATCGATCACTTATCGATATTTGCATACGATGCGATTTCATTTCGAGCCGACAACTGAGTTGACACGTTATGATAATGTGAAGTGAGCGTTCAAATTTCGTAGAATTTTTTAGAAATCAGAAATCTTTCATCTAATTTCAACTGAATGCGGATTCTATGAGCTACGCAATGGGAGGGAAGAGATGTGAAATTTTATAGAATTTGTGAGAGAATTACAAATTTCGATTGATTTCCAAGAACTTCATAGGTAAGAGCAGAGAAATCTGAGTTGACAGAGAATGAATTTGAATGCATAAAAGAGATTGTCCTATGGAATAGAGATAGATAAAAGATATATAAGATACGATGATTCACAAAATATGTAAACATTTGAGCAGCGAGAAGCATAGTAATGCAAGCCTCAAGGTACTTACTATGCTTCTCTCTGCTAGCTTTTAAGTAGATAAAACGATATGTCGTTAAGAACCTATTACTAAGATATGTCTATATAGACACAAGCAGAACTTGAGCAGATTTATAACTTCTTTACTAAGCTTCTCTCTCTCTCACACCTACTTTCTTATACGTAATGTATGTATATATAATCCTAACACTCCATAACTCACTGACTCTTAGCGAAAAACTGCTCAAGTCAACTTCAACTTCTCCTGTTTGCCTAGCTTCGCTTCTTTCTGCTAGGTTATTCATAGACAAAACGAGTTATACTAAGCTGGTTTAAATGCACTTGAAGAGCGTAATACTAATAGATATATTTAAAGATAAGAAGAGCTAGAGCCACTGTGCAACTTCTTTACTAAGCTTCACTCTCTGCCTCTGCTTACTTCTCACTCTTAGCTGCTCTCTCTTCTACTTTATCCTTAGCAGCTTCAGCTCTCCAGTGCAACTTCAACTTTTCCTA